AATCCAATCAGCACTATGTCCAATTGGTCGAAATAAATGTATTTTAACACAATACTTTTTAACATAATATTTCATGTGAAATTCAATCAGTCAACTGTGTTAACATATTTATATCTACTTGAATGTACCTCAAATATAGACCTAAATTTTAATGTAATATATGGTCTCTGGTCTGTCTATAGCTTATCATTCTTATTCTTATATTCTATAGCTTTGCTACAAATATCCTATTGTAGGTTACAGACTTTATGTTTTATTGCATTTTAAATCTCAATCTAGCCACCAGTACAACCAGTACACAATGATGTACTCTATCATTATTACTAGAGTTAAATTATTAGAATTATTATTAGAATTAAAAATTGAACAACAATTTTCTATCAGTCAACAACATTTCTCTTAAAATTGAAATACACCAAGTAAAATTACATCGAATTTGTTTAATTGTTGATCAATATGTTTGGATATTCTTTGAAAGATATTCAAGAAAAGAGATGTTTTGAAAATTCTCTTGTGTGCTGCTAAACCGTGTTAACATTATTTTCTCTCCTTTTCAAAGAAAATGCTTCATTAATTTTCAAAGAATATTTGTTTGAAAACGATACCCTGAATCCTATCACTTTTAGGTCTCAAACGTTAATGAAAATAAGTTTAGACTGTTCTGGAGACTGAAGAGTAGAGATTACATTATGAGTACAATAGTTATTAATTGTACAAACTGAAAAGCAAATACAGTATAAATTAGTTTATGTATATTTAATTAAATGTATGCTTTTACTCATTAAATGATTAGGCAAAATTCACCATTTTTTCCCACAAAATGTTTCTTTTTTTGTGTGTCTGTCATTCAAGGCCAATGATTTGAGAAAGTAGTTGAAATACAAGACATCTTTACTTTAAGTTATTTTTTGTTTTTCTTTGTACAGTAAAAGTGCAGCTATTATTATGTTATGATTTTAAAATATACTGACAACTTACAAGATCAGATGCTAGTTACTGTTATAATAGCATCCTTTAACTTCGCACCAGCCCTTTAGCTACAACCAAACTGGATTGCCAAGTTTGTGCCGACAAGAGACAAGTTTACGCCTGGGTTACTTGGCTTCATTATATTCTCAACGCCTTCTCATAATTGAATTTTGTGAAAAAAGAAGTCAAATATTTATGTTATGTTAAAATGTGATATAAAAAAAATGTAAAAATTGCATTAATTCTATGGTGATACCATTGAACATAGGAACTAGCCAGTTTTGTTGGATAGTATTATGAAATAAAAATAATACTCAACAAATTGACTAGTTTTTTCATGGCATTTAGGAAACTACTCAGACTTTTGATAGTGTGAATCATTCATAATTAATAAGAACATTACAATCCATAGGAATAAAAAATCACCCGATAGAATGGTTTAAATCGTATTGTAATGATAGGAATAGACTGTTACAAAAGGGCTTAGTTCTGTACAAAAAATGTTATACAATTTCATAATTGAACAATACAACCTATCAAGCAAGGAGTACCCCAAGGATCTATCCTAGGACCGCTTCTATTTTTGTGCTATACAAAGGGGTTACCTATAGTTTAATTTCAGGGACAGATAGCAAAGTTTGCCTATATGCATATGATACAAGCCTTTTAGTGACAGGTAAAACTCTTGAAGCTGTACAAAAGTCTTACTCTCACCTTATTAACAAGATTAAACACTTTTGTAACAGCAAAAATTGTCTTTTAAATGAAAATAAAAGTAGAAACATTTCTTTGGTACAAATAAAAATAAAACCAATGAGACAATTTTGAAGACTGTTCTAAAATTTAAAAAGTAAATGATAACAATTTAAGTTGGGACTCTCATGACCAACATGTTTTAGGCAAAATTTTATCAGGCTTGTATGCTCTTCGAAGGATGTCCTATGTCTGTGATCTTTTGGCTCTAAAACTAGTGTATTATGCTTTTGTACATTCTTTTTTATCATACGGAATTAGTGTGTATGGAGGGATCTCAAAATCAAACCTTAATAAACTACTTCTGTTACAAAAGAAAGCTAATTAGATTAATGCTAAATTTAATTGGATTGAAATTTTTAAGTATCATTTTTCTAATTTGGAAATCCTAACAGTGTTTGGAGACAATAAAAAGTACAAAGCAGCATCCAATTACCAAAAATATAGTTAGAATTAAGTAGGCCTACCAGTAATAGATATAATACCAGAAACGCACCATATGTTATACAAAACAGACATAATAATATTTAGAATTAAAAAAACTGTGTATAGAGAGAGGCCTTAGATATATAATTTTTTTACCAAAAGATGTAATAGTAGGAAATTTTACTGTAAACTAAAGAAATTCTCAGTCCTTTGACGAATTTTACAATTTAAAATATTGTGAATAGGCAATAAGTTACCGTACATTTCTCACTGACTCTAGTCATTGTACTTGTACATTTTTATGAATAAAGGAGATTTCATTTGATTTGATTTGAAACATGTTTTTCCTTTTCCTACAGTTTACCTGACAAAGTGTGTACTGATTATAGCATGAAAAGTAGCTATTTGCTGCATTTACTTATACTTTTGCTCACAAATGTTTTTGCTGCACTCCAGTATTCCAACCAAACAACACAATAGTTATTTGTGTAACTAGTGTGCAAAGTGGCACTTTGCTACACACAAGAGAAATGTTTACGCAAGAGCCGCAGACAAATGTGGAAAGTTTCTCAAGTGAAGCAAAGGCACTTTGCACTCACGTTACACATTATATTTTTCCTACAATAATTTGTCTTTCAAACACTATACAACAGGTTTTTAAGTTAGTTTAAACCCTAGCATTGAACAAAATGGAAACCAGCTGATTGTAGTAGTAGTATCTTTAAGTGTTGCCATCTTATTGCACGCTGATTTTTGTTGTCTGGTTGGAATAATGGAGTTCGGCAAAAAAAGAGTGCGGCAAAAGTAAAAAGAATGAGGCAAAAGTAAGAAGATGCAGCAATTCTGTACTACGAGTATAATCAGTGCAAGGAAGCCCACTTTGTCAGGCGACTCTAGGAAAAATATGTTGTGTAGCTAGAGCCCAAATTGCCACTTCGCACACTATAGTTACACAAATAACTATTTATTTTTTTTATTTTCCCCCCATTACCTAATTACTGGAAATGTTGATACACTTGTGTACTGTTGTGTACTGGAAACTATTGATACAGATAGAAACCCAAATTGGAGAAAATACACTCACATTATGACACTGAAGACCAAGAGAAAAAATAGCTTCATTTGTCAACTTAGGTGAACAATCAAGTATGTTAGAGTCGATAACGGTTCTAGAATCTCTTACTTTTTCATTTTCAGTGAAATTTACTTGGCGGTTGTACGTTCCTTTTCCATGTCCACCATTTATTTTTTGTTTTGAAAATCAGTTCTACTTTTAATTTTGCAAACTTTTGCCAAGTGACCTTTTGTATCACAATTATTACATATTGCATTTCTAAATCTACATTGTTTCCTAAAATGGTTACCACCACAAGAATAGCATAAATAGTTTGAATTTGTAATTAGAACCTCTCCATCGCTCTCATAATCGGAAAATGAAATCAGATTTTTCTTTGCTGAAGTGGTAAAAACTGAACTTAAGGTTCTAGCGAATTCAAGTACAGTATTGAAATCTGTATAATCTTTCTGAAGTAAATTAGCTCTAATAGAATCTTCATTTATGCCCATTATGAAGGATGTAATGAAAGCATCTTGATAAAAGTCACCAGGGAAATCACAACTGCTGGCTAATTCTTTTAAGTTACTTGCAAAGGTGGACAAAGATTCAACACCTTGCTTCAGTGAAAAGAATTTGACTCTTTCAGCAACTTTAAACTTTACTGGCTTGAAATGCTTTAAACCAAAAATTCATAAAGTTGTTCATAAGTGAATTCGCAAATATCTTTTATTATATTATCAAAATTGGTTATTGACATTTAATAGTTAAAATAATACTAAAAAAGTGCATACTCTCAAACTCTAAAGTTCAACAATTTAATGGTATTCACTATACCAGTAACACACGATGTACAATAAATTTGTAATCATAGTAACTTCTTGCTCAGAACTTCCGGTACCGGTAACCAATAGAGAAGGGATACCAATGATTCGTGTTACTAATATGATGGTACCTTGTCATGTAATACAATTTGTTGTAGAAATCAGTTGAATGACCTATACATTATGTTTTGCTGTAAATGCAGCAAGGTTAGTGTCGGGGTAGCTAAAACATTGACATAACTGCCACACGAGAGCAAATAAATTAATAAGAAACAAACATTAAATACTGAAGGGCCCATCACACAACACAGATGGTCCTGCTTCAGTTAGTAAACTGCAGGGTGACTCCTTCCTCATTGGTGTCCTTGTTATCAGTAGGACAAAGGTCAGTTGCCCGGATACTTTGGTTTATTAACCCATTTAAAATAGAGTTTCACCAGAACTGCATGTTTCGTTGAGGATATGACTACTGGCGGTTCTGTCATAGTATAATTTGTAGATTTAAAATTCATCTGTGTTTAATTCACTTAACTTTTACTGCATATAATTATATGTAGCCCCTCTAGACCACTAGCAATCTCACTCATGTTATGGTTTAGGCCGGTTCAATGCACGCAAACGCTGAACTTTGTTTTATTAATTGTATTTCGGGTCTGTTCCTTGTAACGAGCAATGAAAACACAACCTGTTTGTTCCACATACTTGCTCGGACAATCTTGGCATTAAATTATGTAAAGAGATTTTTGTCACTCACCTATATTGGGTCTGATGATGATTGGAGGGTCCAATCTACAAGACATGACTGCTACATAGTATATGATAAGATTTTCCATTTGGCTAGCAATACACCTAAGGGGTCTGTACTCGGGTGGTACCTGACCTTTCAACTCATACGACCTTACTAAAACTAGTTTACATCAGACAATTGAGACTGAAATGAAAAATATTTTTGCAAGGTAATAGAAACAACAGCAATAAATCAATGGAGATCTGTTAATTCAATTTTTTTAACAAGTTTCTCTCTCGATAACAATTTTATGATATGCCTCCCACAAGGGTTTATTTTTAACACACACAGCCCCGCCGCCACGTCTCTTCAGAGAAGGCTGAAACATTCCATGTTTTGTATTGTGATATGTTGAATTAAGAAACTCGTGTAACTAAACTAGGTAAAGATTCTACAACAAATGCTATTTTAATGTTTCACACAATACTTATAGGCCTATAAATAATTTATATTATGACAATTGACTTTTGTAGTTGATGAACTTTAAAATGACTAAATGATTGCTAAACGATAAATATGACAAATAATGTAATAATGCAATGTAGCTTGAAAGGGAATCCTTTGATATGTGGTAGGTGTCAAGGATTTTCTGACAAGGTACGTTTAGCCATTATTTGTCATGTAAACAAAATCCAAGGGCTATAAAAATGAATTTTAATTGATAAATATAATCAGGAATTTTATTTGAATAAGTAAACTTGGCAGCTAACAAATACCCAGATGATTAGAATCTGCATAGATCAAGATAAGCTGCTCGTGTATTTGCTAGAATGCATGTAAACCACAGATATTTAGAACAGAAAAGGTAGGTAACATAAACATAAAATTGTCTGTGAAACCAAATGGTTATAGTGCTCGCCTTCAAATCTGAAGGTCGCTGGTCCAAATTCAAGCGAGATTGTTTCCAGACCCAGATGCCATTTGTCATTGGGCTATGAATTAATCTAACAAAAAGGAGATAGTAACAAGATTAAGGTTTGGATTCAAAACTTTAAAAATGCTACTGGCGTAAAAACACACAAAATAGAAAATAAAGAGGCCACTGGGCTGAATCTTATTGTCAAATAGACATTTGAGTTTCAAAACATTAGATCTCAAATAAAAAAAGAAGTAATTAACACCAGACACCTCCTCAGGTTCTACTTACATCCCTGTTTATGTCACCAATACAAATCCAGGGTTTTGCCTGTGAATCTGAGACAGCCCATTTGGAGTTGTCATCTTCAGTAGGAATCTGCACACCAGCAACTCTGGTTTCCTTCACATTCACCAATCTAGAAAACATAATAACCCAATATTAGTAAACAAATGGCTTGCTTCCCATCAGGTTGATAATGATATAGCTCTTTAGGATAAATGTACAATAAAACCATTAATCATGTAGAACATTAACTTTAAACTTAAAAAAATATTGAAATAAAATAATTTTCTTTTTGTTGGGTTACAATTTGACTATAAGACAAATAGTGAACAATTGGCATGGCAAACAGTTAAGAAAGAAAAGAAAGACATTTGGGGGTGTAAACAGATAACATATGAGATGAAATCTCTGCAATCTAATCTAAGAAGTCCTTTTATAGAGAAATACCAGTGTTATGATTTACAATAAGTAAGAAGGAATGTAGATGTACCGTAACTAAGTTACCAAAAAAGAGTTACAGACAGTTAACAGCACATAAATAGTTTACAAGATAATTAATTTATATTTCTTCCTTACAAAGGGGCTTTCTATTTTAACATCATGTAAAGCTCAACAATTCACTCGTACACTCTATACTTATACAATATGAAATGGAATGAAATGAAAAAGTGCTTTATTAACACAAAAATAAACTGCATAAATACATATGAACTTACAACTAAACATAATCTTCTGCATAACGACAAAAAAATTACTAAAAACAGTACATTACAGCAATGGTCATAAGACCGTCTGCCGGGTTGACAACATTTTATTTTATACAACAAAAAATGTGAACTATTTGTAATAAGCCATAATATTTATATTGTTTTGCTGCTAGACACTGAATTCTAAAACCAAATCCCACCTATACTTCCAAGCCTCTTTAAGAAAATTTGCCAGCGAACGCCAATCCTTACCATTAAGAAAATCTATAAACTCTGAGCGAGTTAAAACAGGTTTCAATAGCCATTTATTTCTAATTTGGGTTAAAATTGGACAACGAGCAACAAAATGATAAGTGTCCTCATTCTCATTTAGATTACATAAAGAACATGTAAAATTTGCGTCTATCATCCAAGGTTTAAAATTTAAGGAAATAGTCTCTGTCCTTACTTTGAATACCCATCGTCTAACAATATCAGGAACGTTATCTGATAGATATCCATTATCTCCAAGGTCAAGATTCAGTGAAGCATAAGTTGTGTGGTATCGTGAGGCCAATGCCGCCTGGACTAACCCCCGCCTGCTCTCCCCCCTTACTGCCTCTACTACTGATAACAGGTGTCGCTGGGTATCCTCAATGGAATTCACATCAAAGGATAATTCAATTCCATGTTTACTTCCAAGACCCTTCCAATCTCTGCTCCAATAAATATTTTCGCTGATTATTTTTTTCTTTGCTAATTTATTTGGTAGACGGTTCCGCGGCAGTGACAGAGCATGTATGATGTAACGAGCATGCATGCTGAGTGTATAAATGTACTCTTTTTCTAGTCCAGTTTCGAGATACAACGCATAGTTTGGAGTATTTTTTGCCAATCCTAAAATTTTCTTTACAAAATAACAAAGAGTCCCATCTACATAATCACTTTCCCATAAACCCCATATTTGACACCCATAACAAAGAGTTGATCTGACAATTGAAAAATAAATAGTGAATTTTTTACTCAAAGGTACATTTTTGTTATTTAGAAATGTATTCCAAATACTGTTAATTGCTAATTTTGAAGAGCTGCACTTGTTAAATACAATTAAATACTTATACAATATCTACACTTTGTAACCGTTTAGTTACTTGTATGTTCCGTCGCAGCTGGAACCTTGGGGAGTTTCTCCCATTGGCATCGTTTGAACCAGCATATTGACTTTCAGATCCGGAACTACAAAATCACTGTAGATATCTGGAAATTTAAAGAAACTTTTAGTAAGTACTTAAAATACAATACAAAGTTTAAACATGAAACAGCGTCTATTTAAATCATCACTGTTAAACACTCAACAAGTACAACAAATTTTAAATACTTTCACATGAAAACAAAATATAACAGTTTAACATAGTTAACGGTTTATTGAGGCTGAAAGATCAGGCAAATGAGATCTTCCAATTACAATCACTCTACGGATCTTCCATGCAGCGGGTCATTTTTCCATGCCAAGTGCGCCCATCTATATGTACAGGACATGCTGAATATGAATTGAAATACAGGATTGATAAAGAAAAGAACACAAAAATTTCACTACAAGACGTTCAGACAAGTTCTGGTCTGGAATTTGGTCTGATTAGGCCATCGGACAGGCCCTCATAAAGACAATGAAAAGCTCTGGTGGATTGACTCGAGGACGAGGGATAACAGACAAAATGTTGTAATTCGATGGGCGCTTGGGATGATCCGTCCTCATCAAATCTGTAGGAAGTTGAGAATTATTATAAAAAATGACGTCAGTGACTAGTGAGCAACATGTTGACGTACACCATTCTCGCATTGCTCGAGACAACGAAATTGATGAAAAGATTACATAGTGGTTTCCTCAACACACACCATTCAATATAAATGAAGTTCTGATTATTAGCAAATTTCCCTTATAGGGAATACGCTATTACCGTAGATCTCATGGTAAGACCTAGACCCGGGACCTTCTTACTTTTTAATTTTGGTATTCCTAGAGGCCAAAAATACTGTTGGTTCAAATTGTTATAATATATATAAATATATAGTATACATACCGGGTGTCCGAAAAAGACTCCTTAGTTTTAAAAATACTTCACAATACTATTTGTTCAAATAGATGAGTAAAATCCTTTCGTGCTGTGTAGAGTATACTTCAAAGTTTTAGTTTCGTACGTTGGCAATAAGTTGCGTACACCTATTTGATCTTGAGCATAGTTTTGGTAATAAATTATAATACGAATAATAAAATAAAAATATTAATGATAAAAATTAGTAAAAATAGCTTGCATGTCTGCAGGGCTACAAATGGTTCGCATATTGAGGTGTGATAGTGTTAAAAAAACTTTTATTTTATTACCTTTCATTTAATGTATCAGCATAGCCACCTCTATGGTATCAGTCGTTGTAATGTGTATCTAGTACAATAAATAAATGAATTTTTGAACTAGGTGAGTTTTTTTGGAGACCCTGTATTTATTTATGTCCGTTAGCACGGTAATAAATCGAGCAAAAATCATCCGATTTAGTGGAATTTGGTACAAACATGTAAACGGACATTTATTTATTAAAACGAGTTCGCGAAGCATGATCGGCATGATAAGGCCATGGGAACGGTTGCTTTATAGGTACTTTGTCGGTAAGAGTAGTTTTTTTTTCATTTTTGACACCCAAAACATACAATTTTACAATTGTATGACTAAACCATTTTGTAGAGCTTAAAAACAAATAATTTAGTACATAAAAATGTTTTTTACAATTATTGGTTACGGAGAAAAATAAAAAAAATTATAATAAAAAATCCCCCATGATATTATAATGGAGAATATTTTTATCTATTGTTTTTTTTTCCTTATTTATAGATACATTTTTATAAAGTTGTGTAAATTTATTTGTTTCTTATCATACTATTATTGTTTTATGAAAAGATATACTATATTACCCTCCCTCTAGCAGCAAACCTAGGTACCAGTTAAACCAAAAGTTATTTAATAGCTTTGTGAAAATCAAATCAAGCAAATGTAAATTCGCTTATTCTGCAGGTTTGCTTTATGTGGGCTATGTTCATTCATACTTTCATTTATTTTCTATTAAAAGCAAATAAACTAGCAAACTCTCTAAACCAATACGGTCTTTGCTTCAAACAACTATATTGTGGAAATATTGAAAAAAGCCACAATTGCTATACATCTTTGGAAAATTTATTTATTTTGAAGGTCTGTATTTTGACCGTTATTTATGCTAGGCTACATACTTGCTGTTGGGCTTAAACTGTCACAAATTTATCCTCGTTTAACTATATAAAGTAATAATTTCAGTAAAATCAACTGTTCGTGAGATTGAGTGAAAACCCACAGGAATGGTCAGATTTTTGATATTTCATGAACAAGTGGCACCCCCTGCGGCGCGCGGTGGTATCTCGAGGTGGATAACTTGGATTTTATTTGATACACCCAACACTAACAACATATCCAAAAATCAGAACTACCCGACCTTTTGCATAGCAACCCCCTATTTTTTTGACATTTTTACTGGACTATATTATTTGTTGATTTATTTATACATAACTAGTGTTATTACTCTATGTTTATTTGCCATCTGTCATATCTATATCTTTCCATTCTTTTGAAATGATTAATTTTTTATTACCAAACAATAGCCTACTTGGAATTTTCAGGGCTCTTGGCATTTGCCCCCCCCCCCCCCCCTCTTGACGGCTCTGCCATCATCACGTTGTCCTAGACCATCATAAATGTGACTGTGTGTATGTAAATATTTTTGTAAATATCTAAATAAAAAGATTAGTTCACAAGAAGATCTCTGAGGATGCCACACAAGGTGGTGAATTGCATAGGGTGACACCAACACCTTACCTACAGGAACTCAGGCAACAACAAAAAAGGTAAATCTAAAATCTTTAACAAGTTCAGTGCTCAAGGAAATTAAATAATTGAATCGTATTGCTAAAAAACTTTAATGTTGTATAACATTCCTTTTTGTGTCCTTTTTGAAATACAACATCATATAAAACGATCGGAAGTGAATATGACGTCAAAAAGTAACGTCATACTAATGGGTCAGTACTGACCCATCAGGAGCCAGAGTCAGAAAAAATGGAAATGTCACTGAATACGTTATTTATGTCACTAAAAATATATGTTCTAAAGATATATGTAGTCATTATCATAAAATAATCAACATAAAATAGTATATCAATTGATTAGTTAGTATTATAAAATGGTTTAAGTTACCTTTTGCGTCGAACGATCCTTGATGTAGTAAGTGATAACTAAAGCTGTTTCATGCCCCTGGGGCACATCTTCAGGTTGTAGAGTCATGACGCAACATTCACCGGCACCTGTCTCGCGTGTTTGTCACTTGGCCAAGATTGTTAAATTTGTGTATTTAAATGTTTTCTTATTCGTGTTTTTTGTGTAATATTTATTTTGACAAAATCATCCACGGATGACAGCTATTTTATCTTGACGCTCTACAACCTGAAGATGTGCGGCATGAAACAGCTGTAGTTATCACTTACAACATCAAGGATCGTTCGACGCAAAAGGTAACTTAAACCATTTTATAATGCAATTTTCGATCCAGAGGCTAACCCATCAAGTGATTAGTATTGATTATGACTTCATAATGTGACGTCATATACATAGGTAAGTGCTGACCCATCAAGAACCAGAGTAAAAAAAAATTAAATATTCAACAAAGCTGAAAGATGTAAAAGATTAATATTATTAAAATAAAATAGTTTTGAAGTTGATTGAAATTAAATATGACGTCATAAAGCACACAAAAGTAGCACAGCGAGGGGCGTTCACAGTAACGTGGGTCAGTACCGACCCAGCCACCTTGGCGGGAGCGAGACGCGAGAACCAACTCAACGGTGAACAAAGCAAGTCACACACTACACGCTAACGTGGTATTGGTCCACCTTCAACCGACGCTAGGCTCGCACTGAGCAACAGATGGATGCACTGCAGTGTGGGTCAGTACTGACCCACCCGCAGCGAACGTGTTAATTTAATGATCCCAAAGGAAAAATTGCACATTTACTTACCAAAATCACCTTTAGGAATTGTATGGCATGGCGGCTTGGCAAAGACACGAATAGGCAAATTTCCTGGTAATTTGAAATTTTCCTTTGTAGGCTTAGGCGAACCTCGGGGCATTTGGGTTGAACAATCTAAAATCAACCTATCAGTTATGTGGTGTTCATTGAATTGCATCAGTTGACCTACAATATGTATAGTAAGGATATATTTGCACAGCCAGCCATAGAGAACAAAACATTTAGTTTTTACAAAACACTACCCGAGCAATAAACGAATAAACATAGGAACAAATATAGGTACTTAATTACTTACAATGTAGTACCTTTAGTTTGGTATTGGTGCATCGATTAAATTTATTAGGATCAGTTATCGTCTACCAAATATTAGTTTTGAAGTATGTTGGGGTACGAGAATTAGTTAGTACGTTAAAGTTAAAACTATATTTAAGTGTTAATGTTATAAAAATCATAACCAGTTTAAGATAGTAATGGTAAACAAGTTTTAGTAAGGTTTTTACACATCATAACAGAATCAAAATCTTACAGAATCAGATTACCAAATAAATAACTAAATTTTTAACATTTGATTATGTACAAAAATAAATATAGCATATCTATATATAAAGCCAAAAGTACCCATGAACTTTTGAGAAAACTACAAGTCACACCCCCATAAACCATATACTTAAAATGTTCGTCATGACGAGAAACCTTACGAAAAATTATCCATTATGTCATAGATTGCCTTTTAAGGTCGTAATTCCTTTCTAAAGGGAACTTTTCATATACCTAATGTTAAAAATACCTCAGCTGTATTTGTTTGTTATTCTTTCAATTTATTACCTTATTAAAATCAGGTGTGATTATTTGTTTCTTTTACTGTATTTTGTTTATTTCAGGTTAACTTAACCAATCAATAGTTTTATTAATACTTATGATGTCAAACGGGGCGAAGCCCGTGGTTAACAGCTAGTTAATATAAGTTTGAATTGTGTTTAATATTTTTTTAAGTGCTGGATCATGGTACATTATGTATTTAAGTAACTTTTCCATTACCTATTCAAAACTTAAAAGCACTATGAAAAATATAATATTATAACATAGCCACCTTGGCAAAGGCCCAAGGGAGTAAAAGAATGGTAATGGGACAGAAACCCTCTCAGGAGTGTATAGAACAGCTTCCACACGTTTCATCACGATTGGATGACTGGTATGGTAAGGCATTAAGTACAAACATACGACAAACAGACAAATTAGATTTGATTATGGGAAAATCGGATGTCAAGATAAAATTTACAGACAAACTTTACAACATCAGTTGATTTGTTATCTTTTTCAAAAGTGTAACATAAGATTTATTTATTTTATTTTATTTTTTTATAAAAGAGGTTGGCGATCTCTTTTAACCTTGCATTTGCCCGTCCACATAGACTACAGATCTGTGCGTGGAACATATACAGCAAAGCAAGGGGTGAGCCGGTACAGTACGAAGGTGAACTGTACTGATAAATTTTAGTGGCAGTGACCAGGATCCGAACCCACGACACTACTGCCTTGGGCCCAAAGTCTGTGACGCTACCAACTGAGTCTCCGACTCACCAGGACTTTGCTCGTTTTGATCCTGTAGTTAATTGAATTTTAGTATCCTAACTTTGTTCTAGCACTATAAAATGAATATACAGTCAAATGTGTTAACACCTCACACAATTTGTGTTGTAATTCACCATAGGAGTTATTACGGAGTGTGAGGGGGGATTATTAATGGTGTACATTGATAATTAATGAATGTAATGATTGTTCATGATATAATGCAAAACCCTCCAGGTGGTGGTTTTCACCCTATTACCGTTGGTCAATCGCTCCCACTGCATTAGACCCCACGACTCCACTAAGTACATATTGAGAAATGTGACACTTTCATTTCAAAGCTACTGTGGTTGAACCTGGCGATTTTGCAAAAATATGAAACAGGTTTACCTTCAGCTGACATGTTTTCTTCTGCAGTCTTAACTAATTCTGGGTACTTGGCCTTGAGATCTGCTGGAATTGACTTCTCATATATTTGAATTCTATTGATCCGCATCAATTTACCTAAAAATATTAAATACATTTGTACATCCGTAACAAAATACAAACGTGAAACAGTCAACTTTGGAAAATTTGAAAGTAAGGCATCTTTGTTTGATAATTCATCTAATTGAATCTGATGATGATTGCCCAATCAACTACCACTTACCATCTAATACTTATTTGTTTACTGTCTTGTAATGAACAGTATGAAAATGTGTTTAAAGGGTTGGACATCTGTTAATGTTAATAGTTAATACAATTTTTGGTTCCATTTGGTTCAGAAGACTAAATGTGCTGTGTAAATGTGATTTAAATAATTAAACATTCTCATGGTCATAAGCCATAAATATGACAACATCTATTTGTCTAGTTTGTTTCATTGCACATTATTTCTGAATTCTATAAACTGACGGTTTGAATTAAATTAAAATATGTACAGTAGAGTCTTTGCTATACGATCCTTGTTATCCAACTCTCCCTGTGCAGGATCGAGTACCTTGAAATGGCTTTTGCTGATTCAGTCTTTGCTTGAAAGCATATTTCAGGCTTTAGGAATGTGCACTTGACAGTACTTTCTGATTTTTTCTGCATCCTACAGATGACACAGTTAATGAACTCCGCTTACAGTTTTATTTATTTATTTATTTTTATTTATTTGAACAGCCACCACCATTTACAAAAAACACTCCCTTAACCTAAATACCTATACTAACCCTTACATGTTAGTCATAAATCAACTTATATGATTTACAATTTCGATAACAATGATTTTTTCTGTTATTCTTTAATAAATATCATTATTCATAACAGCTTCAATAAAAACAGGACTTACAGGCTTATCGGTTTCACAGCAGAGAAATTTGATTAATATTGATGATGTTTGACATACAATCAAATTTTGTCTAGGGAGTAAAAATGCTATTTAAGACCCGCAACACATGTATAAAAAACGGCTGTTTTTGCTGCAGTAAGGTCTGCACGAGTGAGTACTATCCGCAGAACTGTGTCTAAGGAATATGTCGGCCTTAGTCACTAACAAGACCAGAAGATTGCGCCACTCATCCTACACTCATCTCCATTCATACTTAGCTTAAAATACCTAAATTTGTATGGTCACCACTTAATCCAAAAGGATAAAAAGTATAAAGTATAAGTATGACAAAAAATTATTTTTGTTTTCTAGTTTAGTTTATTAAATACTCTTGCAATAAGACAAAAAATATTGTTCATCACACGGGGAAAAAGTGTCTTATCAACCCTCACTCGTTTTCTACTTCGGCTTAGCCTTTGTCCTAAAATTTGAGCTCGGGTGGAAAAGAGTCACTTTAAGCCCTAGTGATAAAATATACTATTTTTTCATTCATGATTTTTTCGTGATTTTTTTATTCACCCCTAAGTCGACCAGGTTTGGTCGGATAGTTATAAAACTCTACATGGTATTTATCATTTGTATTTTCACGTCACAATCACAATCTGTCTCACCTGCCGTCTCCAGATTTTTAGGTTTGAGTGATAAGCACAAGAAGATCTGTCCAAACTGCAGCTCTGTACTAGGGTAGGTATATTTGTTGGTCGTGGCACTGGCCACAAAGTTAGGAACACTGTGGACCATCCAGAATCCTCCTTTTTTGTCACCGGCCATAACTCCCTTTGCGTGTCCTCCCCCTTGGTAAGTGTGAGTGGGGGTTTGGTCATTGTACATAAAGTACAACAGGTTCTTCCTTTGTTCCTCCTACAAATTGATCAATAAACTAAAAAGAATATAATATTCTGCTGCAAATTAGCAGCTTTAGTGATAACACATAATACTATAGTGATAGTATCATCTAATTGCAAGGATGTTTTCTCCTTTGATTGAATAATTAAATAACATAAAAATAATATCAACCCTTTAGGGGGTTTTCATTAATCTACATATATATATATAATCCAATGTATGTTTGTTTGTATGTTTGTTTGTCCTTTATGGACTCCAAAACCGCTCGACAGATTGTAATGAAACTTTCGGGCATTATTAAGCATTATTCAAGGATGGTTTGTGTGAAGTTTGGTGCAGATCCGTCAAAAGGGCTCCACCCCAGTGGCTCTGGGGTTTTCCATGTTAACCTAATGAGTACTCATATTTAAATGGAATTAAAGAATCTTAACAGCTGGTTCAACTAAACAATTTGATTCTGTGATGTTCAATAGCATTAAAAAGTATTAGGTTTACCAACAGGGTGCAGCACTATTATTTTTTTTAATTTATGACAGCAGCAACAGCTAATTTGCAACCAAAGGGTGACAACCCAAAGGTGAGTGAGCGTAGCGAACGAACTTCAACCAGGACGTGATTGAGCCATAGGAACGAGCTCATCTTGAAAATGAACGAGCATTTGACATAGAACCACATAAGGACAGGACGACGTCTGTCGGGCCAGCTAGTTTATTTACTATAATTCTATTTTCTCCTTTATTTGTTGTGTGGGCAATAGTTTGTGACATAAAGGATTATGAATACAACAAAGTTGTCCTTTCAGTTTGGGTTTGAATATACAAAAAATTTGTAATTTGAATCTGCGCACCCTGGTCAATTGTACTTCACTTGTACTTAAAACTTGCTACAACCTTTGACTATTCATAGAACCACACATTCCATCCCCAAGTTAAAAATATCGCCAGTTTTTTATCAAAGTTGAAGTAGTTTTAATGAGACACTGATAGATTGAACTGATGTAAATTACTGATTTTTGTAGCTTGAGAATTTTAACCAAGCCAGACTGATGACTTATAGTTAAGTAAGCCTTAGCATCTTTTATACCACATCAACTATCTTAGTAAAAAAAAAGTAGAATGTACAATTTTAGACACTAGCACAATCTGTAATCAGCTCTCTCAAATATGATTTTCTTGGATACAACACAATTTATAACAGTTGGTCCAACAGATGGGATGTCTACTTCAGTATGGCAATGGAATGTCTAGTTCTATACATAGTAAAATGTTTAATCTAAAATACCAGTACTATACAATTACATTATCATTATATCTAGAATTAGAGTATAAGTATATCAGAATTTCACAACAAATTGTATTACCTTATATAATGGAGACAAGGTATTTCCAAGAATGTTATTTTCATCTTCAATTGACCTTCCAGAATGTGTCCAAACATTTGAAATTCTGTTAGAGGTTATGTAGGCATGACCCTTTCCTTCTCTGACAAACTCATTAGTATGAATTGTTCTAATTGGATATTTGTAAACCAAAAACCTGTTTAAACAAATTTACCAGTGTATTGAGTTTTTTCAGTAATAAATATTATAGTATATTTCATCACTAGGGCGTAAAGTGCCTCTTTTCAACCCGAGCTCAAGTTTTACTGAGCAAGTTTTACAAGTTTTACCCGATTGAGGCAAAGCCGAGGTTGGAAAATGAGTGATGGTTGAAAAGACACATTTTACCCATTTAATGAACTATTCATTTTCGTCGTATTGAACTTTTATTCAAGCAAACTAAGTTACTAAATGAAAATACTTTTCATGTAAAGATAACGTCTTCAAACGACCTCCGACTTGTTTTAAATTCTGCTAATACAAACAAGCAGCTGTTAAGTAGTTATTCAATAATTGAAATAATAATTATTTGATCTATTGCGATTGTGTCAATTGATATGTCAAGAAGGTACATTGTATTGACAAGAAGGCATCAAGCTACAATAGATTCAAGATTCAAGTAATTGATTTTAAAAAATACAGCTTTTATTTTTACCTGGGGGAATAGCATAAAAATTATACACAGGGTGTCCAGTAAGTAAGTAGGCCCTACAAACAATTCAAGAATAGGTTTCATGGGTGAAAACAAAATGGAGATCAAGAATAAAATTTGTTTTTCCAAAAAAAACACCTTGTTAGCAAGTTATCTGCAATTATTTTATATAAAGTTTCTATTTTTTAAACAATTGAAGCTATCTTTATAAAAAATTTTATGTAATTTGAAGTAGCAATAAACTATTTGCAATAATGAATCAAAGATTTTTTTATAGCAGCAATTTAATTTTTTTTAACATAAATTAGGTACATAAATAAAATAGCAGATTTTAGGATAAAATTTCAAGAACTGTATTATTTATCATTTAGAATTTCCTATGAAACACACCAAGCTTAAAAAAGATCGAATAACAAACATAGCTCGTAAATCGTGATTTTTAGCTGCACAGGCCAGGCAAAATTATGCCCACCCTGAGAGCCTCCTTTAAAAATTACATTAATCAAACAATCACGATTTTGAGAAATTCTCACTGTATATACTTTACTTACCAGTCGACTACATCGTTTCTTTCATCACGACATCCAAATTCATCTTGAGAAAAGGCTAGCACAACTAATGAAGAAAATACTAAAATTGTAGCAAACTTACAAAAACGCATCTTTAAAACACAAACATAGAGTTTTACAACATTTTTACTAACTCGAACAATCCAACATGCAAAGTATAAAATGGTGAATTTAGTTGATTGATAGGCCAATTAAAAACAACTGTAAGGTACAACATATGGTGACATGAGTAATGGTAATCGCTTATTTACTCAAAGTGAGCTGAAATGTAAAATTTCATCGCATTTAAAATATATTGTAAGTAAAAATTTGTAGCTACTCTACTGTGAAATGACCTGTTTTTAATATACAGAGTGGTAAAAAAGTCCCAGGACAGTTAAATATTTTAAAAAACAATGTAGATAGAGCTACAATACTTGGTACAAAGTTACAGGGCATAAAACTCTATTTTAACACATGTTCAGTGATCCAATAACTCTTCAGGGGGACGGCCCACAAGGAGTCGGAAGAAAATCTTAAATACAAGCATAGGTCAATATGCACATCAAATTAAAGGTCTTTTTTAGTAGAATACAATGCCGCAAACCGCACTTCAAAAGGTTGATCATGCGCAAAATGGCAGATGTTCAAAGATTTCTTGAATCCACCATTTTGAATCTTTGAACGACTGCCATTTTTTACTCAGACATTCTTTTGAGCTTTAATTTACGGCATCGTAATCTACTAGTGAAGACCTTAAATTTGATGTGCATATCGACCTATGCTTACGTTAACAATTTCCTTCCGATTCCTAGGGCTGTGCCCCCTGAGGAGCATTAACGGCTCCTCAGCCGTTAATGGCAATGAAAGTTAAATGAATCTTTGAACAACTGTCATTTTGCGCAGGATCAACCTTTTAAAGTGTGGTTTGCGGCATTGTATTCTACTAAAAAGACCTTTAATTCGATGTGCATATCGATCTATGCTTCTATATAAGATTTTCTTCCATTTCCTTGTGGGCCGTCCCCCTGAAGAGTTATTGGATCACTGAATATGTGTTAAAATAGAGTCTTATGCCCTGTAACTTTGTACCAAGTATTGTAGCTCTATCTACATTATTTTTAAAAATATTTAACTGTCCTGGGACTTTTTTACCACCCTGTATATGTTTAATTGTTTATCACCTGCAAAAAATTATCCTACACAAAAGTAATGTTTACTATGCAAAATTAATGTTTACAATCTTTTTGGGATTTTGCCGACATAAACTTATTTTGTCAACTGTTTCAATTTGTAATAACCAGTGGTTTTTACTTTGAGGAATATTTTTTTTATTTTTTGCCATGATGGATTCACATCGGAAAAAATAACGGTTTCATAGGGAGACATAAACATAAACAAACATGGTCTTGAAAATATTTTACTGTGGTAAAACTGTACTAATTTAATGATTTGTAGCATTTTCACAAAATATTTTTTTTTCTCTTGTTATCAAACTTTGACGCTGCTGGTTTAGGTCGGGTAATTGAGACTCTATTGTAGGCCTACTACAAAACATTTTTGTAGGGTAATAGAAATAATGAAACCAATGAAAATAATAAATGAATAGAAGAGTGATTAGTTATTTTAATTATTTCCTACAACTATCTGTGTCGATAACAGTAGTATGGTACGCTTTCCACAAGGATTTATTCTTAATACATACAGTTCCGCCGCCACGCCTCTTTTGAGAGTCCTGAAACATTCAATTTTAAGATAGTCTTTGCTGAAAGCTGAAATAAGCATTGTGTGAAACAAACCAGGTAAATATTATACAGGGAGTATTTTAATTTCTCAAACATTATTAATAAAAAGTATATTTTTCATCAAACATTTCCCAAGTAGCACACATCGTTGGCCCAACGTTGGGAAATGGTCGGCGCGGTTGGGAAATGGTTGGCAGAAATTTTAACGATTTGCCAACGTTGGCTCAACAGAAACTGGTATTCGTTGGCCCTACAAAGGAAAGAATCGTTGGGCCATCGTTGGGTTTAAGTATAAAACATTCTAAAACAAATTTTAACGAATTGATATATTTAAAAGTACATAAATGTTATGGCAGCAGAATATAAGACAAATATTGTAAAAATTTGGATCTATAATAAATGTAGTCAGATGATGTTGTAATACTAGATACAGTGGGGAACACCTGCTTAACATATAATAATAATTATTATAATTGCATTTTTTTTTACAATATTCTTTAACTTATTTAAGCAAATTTTTAATAGTTATAGGGGAAAGATTAATTGATTATATAACAATCAATTATAACAGTAGCCTACTAATCTAATGGTAATTAAATAATCTATATTCAAATACTATAGATAAAACATCATCCTCTCCAACTACCAGAAAAACAATTCAACTAGGTACTTGAGGCCTAAACAGATTAACAGAATCATAAGTAGTTATGTAAAGGTCTGTTCGAGCGCAGGATGAGGATGAGAGCCCTGAAATAGGGTACACCCTAGAACAGGGTACACCCTAGAACAGGGTACACCCTAGAACAGGGTACACCCTAGAACAGGGTACACCCTAGAACAGTGTACAGCCCTAGAATAGGGTACAGCCCTAGAACGGGGTACAGTCCTAGAACGGGGTACAGTCCTAGAATGGGGTACGGTCCTCAAAGTCCGGACACTCAGAGAGCAGTCTTCTGCAGTTCTTTTTCATAGAATCCGCCTATAATTTCCTCGCCATTTTGATCGGCGATCCTAGAGTTGGAAACCCGTTATAAAACACTAAAAGAAAACGCAAGAGAAAGCATTAATGATTTATATGACAGTTTACCCAAAAACAATTAAGAATATATTTTTTCTTTGCACTATATATTTATTAGATATGACAATTTTAAAACTGACGGGAAATACATCGTTGTTAAATATCCATTTGGAGCACCCGATCCATTTGGGTGAAAGTTCAAAGTACCAGATAGCGTTGATTGGTTTTTATTCTGAAAACAACATTTATAATTTAGTGCAAACTGCTAGTATGACTTTTGAAAACATACTTACACCTCTGGTGATTAACAGTGGACATTGGACAATGGAATCGCTACAGAAGCACATACGAGGGTTTTTGGAAAAAGCCAGTTTTACTGTGGATATAAATCAGTTCGAAATACTTAAAGAAGGTAATCGTGTTGTTATAAAATCACCACTAAAGTTTCAAATGGATAACACGATGCGCTTTTTGTTGCGGTTTAATGAGGACAAAGATTCAGAGTTATCTAATCACTATAAAGCTGATACTGCGCCAAACTTGCGGCCTGTGGATGTTATCGAAATCCACTGTAATATTGTAAACAGCAGTTATACAAGCCATTCTACACATTATCACAGACATGACGAATCGTCGATATTGTACCAATTCTTTCCGAAAGCACAACATGGCTATAAGATTTCCGAAACCCCTCAATACCCGCACTATGTACGATTAAAAGACGGGTTGAATCAAATTCAACAAATTCAAATCGGACTGTTTGATCAAAATGGTTCATTATTGCACAATCCTGATTCGAACAGTATTGTGTATTTAGATTTTGTACGAGTATAATTTATTCATAAGATGCAATCGTGTTTATTTTTTTTTATTGCGACCTCGGTTTTATAAAACCGTTTATAATACTCGGCGACAGATGTTGCTAATTTTTTGTTTGTCGTAAAAGTATGTGAATATATATAGGCAGACAGTCATGGAGAACTCTAATGATATCGACTTCTCGGACTTCTTAGATAAAATTAACAGAAGCCGTTATATAAGTGTTGCTGACTTGGAGATTGATAAAAAGTATTTGGTAGAGGATATAGAAATTGTCAGTTCCAAGTATGGTGATCAGATTCAAATTATATGTGGCAATATGAGAATTCGACTGCCGGAGAGTTGGAACACAAGATTGACACCCGACAATATAAAGAAACTTTTGCGATCTGATAAACCCGTATTTGTTGTATACAAGGGCACAAAATCGCTTAGTGGTACTAGAAAAATGCACGATGTAGTGTTTACAACAGATTGAGAACAGTAGAAGATTATAAAAACAGGTTTTGCAAAAACTACTGAAGAATATTTATCAAACGACAATTGAAGAAGTTAGGAGTTACAGCAATAAATTGTATATGATGAAATATTTAATGAAAGTTTACTATTTTAATATTTTTTTTACTCACGATCAATATTCAAACCACACTCAGTACATTCTGCTGACACTATTGCAACTGATAGTTCAACAGCATGCTTTATATTGGTTTTATATCAGTGTAACTAGTTCAACTTTCAGACACCTAAAACACTGAAACTTTCGAATACTTACAACACAGTTGTTTGGTTCCTCAGTTGAGAGTTTTTCGGTTTCACTCAACTGAGTTTGCTAGTCACACAATGTTACACAACACTTACACACACACACTGCCATTGTGTGTACACCATTCTACGGTACACTGCGGTGTTTACACTGCCGTTGTGCGTACACTGTTCTACGGTATATATAGAAGACAAAACGTAACTGCGGCCAGTCCGAGAGTTGAACCCAGATAAGAAGCACGGCCGGTCTGCGTCATCAGTTGTACAGATAAGTCTATCTCAACTCTGGTGCCCTAGTTTATAATTGGCGTACCGGTATTCATTTAGATGATGTATTAAAACACATTCACACAAGTTTGTTCTCTAACAAAAACGGACTGTTTGTGCTCGTGTATATATAGTATAATGCCTAAAATCGACATAGCGAATAATGAGTTTGAGTTTAATGGTCATAGTATTTCAATTATACTTGATCATGCTAACAAACCGAGGTTGATGGAAATTCTATTGCAACCATACTGGGCTATGCGAGACCGGTAAAATGTATTTACGAACATGTTATTGGGCGATTAAAAAAAACTTACTCAGAACTGAAAAGGCATGACACACAATCCACTATACGAAAACATCCCAACACTGTTTACATAAACGAGCAGGGTGTTTGCTGTTTGATGGGGGCTAGTAAGAAAATGGACGAATTTAGAAGTTGGTTGTTTGAAGAACTTTTTCCTAGTCTAAGCGATATCGAACATTTAGAAAAAAAACTAATGTATAAAACAATAATGAAAAATAGGACACAACAAGTGTTTTGTTTATTTAAAAGTATAAACACAGATTCTAATAAAAGAATATACAGATTTATTGATGTTCAAAACAGACGTTTGAAGAAAGCTAAAAGGTGTGTGCTGCCTTTAGAATTTGAAATCTGCTATGAATTCGAATACATCCATGATGGTGAGTTGGTAATTGATCAAGCACTTAAACAACTAACAGATGAGGGCATCGAAAAATGCAATAGAAATACAGCAACTGTGGATGATAATTTTGATATGTTAGCATTTGTAAAAAATATAACAAAAACAAAAACGTCATTTATTAAAATCGATCAAGCTATGAATATCCAATACACCGAATAATCAAAACATTGGAGACATCTTAAAATTACCGTTACCGTCAACAGTGGGGTTATATAAGTGATGAATATTGTTAGTTACCACGAAGAGGCGTCGGATACAAACCTCATACCCCAGCCACTTCGCTGTTTAATTAACGGTAATTCAGGTAGTGGGAAGACGAACTTGTTGTTGAATCTGATTTACAACCCTAGTGGCGTGCTGTTTCGGAATTTATATATATTTAGCAAATCGATTGAACAAGCGGCATACGTGGAATTACGTCAAAAGTACACGGATATAGAGCGGACATTGAATAGGAAGATTGTGTATTTCTTTAGCAATTGTGAAGATTTGCCCCCTTTGGAGGGGTGTAAGAAAAACTCACTTGTTGTGTTCGACGACTGTCTGATGGAAAAGCAAGATGTTATAAAAAGCTATTTCATCAGGGGCAGACACAGGAACTTGTCGTGCGTCTATCTGAGTCAGAGTTACGGTAGGGTTGATGTTGATATGCAAGTCATACGTAACAACGTGAACCTGTTGTGTGTTTTCAAGCAGAACAAACACTACACGAAGCGTATCTATGACGACTTTGTGGGCGCCGATATGACGATTGGCGAATTTGAAACAATGTGTAAGAAATGCTGGAGCGAGCCGTTTGGATTTTTGTCTATAAATATGACTAAAAAGCCGCACAATGGCAAATATATGCGCAACCTGAAAGACACATTGACAAACGATATTACTGGGGGTGTTTTATGTTAAACGTGATATTTTCGAAATCCGTGTGTATGCGGCGTTTCTTGCAGACCCAACAATAAACGCTATATATACGTGATATTTTCGAAATCCGTGTGTATGCAGCGTTTTTTAAAATCATAATACATATGAAGACATGATGTTTTTTAATGTAAAACTAACAAGGTTTTAATGGTTTATACTTAATTTTGTTTTCAACCTTTTTTGTGAAATAAAACTGGAAAAGTCGAAACATTTATAGATATGAAAAATAAGAGGAAAACCGACGATAAAGACATTATAAAGACACTGATGAAAAAACAAAAGATGGTGGATAAAAAGTGGCCCGACGAAATGAATTCTGAGGCAGCAAGAAGAATTGAAAAACTGCAAAATCAGTGGAAAACAGATGGCGAAATAAATCAACAAGAACAGGCAAAAGAGATGAGAACCGTTTTCAGTGTGCACCCGACTTTCTCTACTAAGCCGAAAAACCAAATGCTACTACCGACTAAACGCGAAAACAAACCCCTAACTG